GGATCAAGGTTCACCTACACAACGCCTGTGTAGATTTTATTAAAAGTCATATAAAACTCTTAACATGGAGATCTTCAGAGATAGCAGGTGTCATGTAGGTGGTTTTGTTCTCAGAAGCAAAACCAATGTATTTTCTGGTGATCGTGAATTTAGATTCATTTCTATTTCTGAAACAGTAGAGGAGTTCCTTAAAATTGTATGGCCAAAGGGACACAGTCCAAAGAATAAATTATACAAGAGATAATAAATAATGACCTGTGGTACACTATGGAAGAGGTAAAAGAATAGCTTACATTCATGTGAACACAGACATCCAAGGGACACGTCAAAACAGAAGTGAATGTTTAGGGGAGAAGGATGGGGTCTAAAGAAAATATCACTTAGAGTCCGATCTGGGTTTAAATTCTGTCTCTTACCCAAGTTCTAATCCTTAAGTTTGTTTATAAAATAGAAATAACCATAATCATATCAACAACAGACTGACTCCAAATAGGAAAATGAGAACATCAAGGCTGTATATTGTCACCCTGATTATTTAACTTATCTGCAGAGTATGTCATGCAAAATGCCGGGCTGGATGAAGCACAAACTGTAATTAAGATTGCCGGAAGAAACATCAATAACCTCAAATATGCAGATGACACCACCCTTACTGCAGAAAGTGAAGAAGAGCTAAAGAGCCTCTCGATGAAAGTGAAAGAGGAGAGTGAAAAAGTTGGCTTAAAACTCAACTTTCAGAAAACTAAGATCATGCCATCCAGTCCCATCACTTCATGGCAAATAGATGGAGAAACAACGGAAATAGTGAGAGACTTTATTTTGGGGGGCTCTAAAATCACCACAGATGGCGACTGCAGCCATGAAATTAAAAGACGCTTGCTCCTTGGAAGAAAAGCTCTGACCAACCTAGTCAGCATACTAAAAAGCAGAGACATTACTTTGCCAAAAACGTCCATCTAGTCAAAGCTATGGTTTTTCCAGTAGTCATATATGGATGTGAGATTTGGACTATAAAGAAAGCTGAGCACCAAAGAATTGCTGCTTTTGAACTGCGGTGTTGGAGAAGACTCTTGAGAGTCCCTCGGACTGCAAAGAGATCCAACCATTCCATCCTAAAGGAAATCAGTCCTGAATATTCATTGGAAGGACTGATGCTAAAGCTAAAACTCCAATCCTCTGGCCACCTGATGCAAAGAACTGACTCATTTAAAAAGACCCTGATGCTGGGAAAGATTGAGGGCAGGAGGAGAAGGGGATGACAGAGGATGAGATGGTTGGCTGGCATAACCAACTTGACAGACATGAATTTGAGTAGGCTCCGGGAGCTGGTGATGGACAGGGAAGCCTGGCATGCTGCAGTCCCTGAGGTTGCAAAAAGTCGGACATGACTGTGCAACTGAACTGAACTGAATAATCACATCATGACTGTCGTGAAGAGTAAATAAGTAAATCTCTGTTGAACATGAGATTGTTGGATGGCATCATTGACTCAGTGGACAAGAGTCTGAGCACACTCCAGCAGACAGTGAAAGACAGGGAAGCCTGACATGGGGTCTCAAAGAGTTGGACACAACTGAGCGACTGAACAACAGGACAAATTCAGTGCCATTCCTGGTATACAACCGACAGTGAACATCAGCTACCTTTCCTCCCCTTCCCCTGTGTGTTTCTACAAGATTTTTTTTGTTGTTGTTTTACTGACTTAAATGGGAACTCTTACAGTGGTTAAAAAAACAGTTCCTACACATTATATAGTCATTGGCACATATGTATCTGTTGCAGCACCATAATTTGCAAAGAAAAAGGAAGTAGTAATTTTAACAGAAAAGTACCAGCTCACTTGCACTGCCTTCTAAAGCCTTCAGCTTTATGGTCTACAGAGACTATTTGCTCTAGGGGAGCAGAATGTGAAATAAAGGAAAAATGCTCATGGGAAAAAAGGTTCCCAAAAAAAGAAAGAGAAGATAATGAGGGGAAATCGAGGGGTATAGAAAGGAGTTTATTTTACTTAACAAAGTAAAAGTCAAGCAAAATGAATAATCTGCCTCCAGAAATGGTTATTTAAAGGTTTTTGCAAAGGGCTCTGGTTCCTAAAAAGACAGGAGTCATTGCATATGCCCACCCACTCCTCATTTATTTTTAAACCCTGGCTTATATGTTCCTTAGCAACAGAAGGAGCAGATGAGACCCCCTACACACACGCACACACACACCCTCTCCCCTAGCCCCCTTCTCTCCTATCATGTCATTCTGTAAACACCCATGTTCTTCAAAAGATATTTATTTTTGACCACCTGCAAATCTCTTCTTCTCCACCTCAATTGATCCCCCTAACACCGTGGCCATATTCCACACCCTAACTCAACCCTTTCACTTAGATTCCATTCTGTGAGGTATTCTTGACCCCCATCCATTATCTTTCTCCAGTCACCATCCTTGGGTGCCAGCCCCCCCAAAAGTGAAGTGATGTGGTTGGTCCTCAGTAAGGAGCCAATGCTCAACTTCAGTCAAAGTCTCTTTTCTTACAGACCATTCATCAACCCACCAGTGAAATGGCCAGGCCTAGCTACATCTGCTGCTGCTGCTAAGTCGCTTCAGTCGTGTCCAACTCTGTGCGACCCCATAGATGGCAGCCCATCAGGCTCCCCCATCCCTGGGATTCTCCAGGCAAGAATACTGGAATGGGTTGCCATTCTGAGTCCAGCATAAATGTCTTCCATGATGAATAGTTACACCATTCACCACCCATTCACCATGTCTCTAAAAAAAAAAAAAAAACCTCCTCATCATCAAAATAGAGACACTCTCCAGGTTACCAGCACAAACACATGCTGATGAAATACCTACCCTTCTCTGTCTTTCCTCTGATTTTGGGACTGCAAGCCATGTTTGGCTGAGCATGGATTATGAGTTTAAAGATCAACTGCTTGCCTCTGGTAGAGGGGGGAACACAAAGCAGCAGTCTTCAGATATTAGTGTGTGTACACATCACCTGAGGAGCCTATTAAAAATGCCCACCCACGGAGAGTTTGATTTTGAAAGTGTGGGGTGGTGGGCATCTTTAACCAGCCTCCTGAGGTGATGCTGATACAGGAGGCTTCCTGAATTGGAGATTGTAAAGCTTCATTTAAAAGGAAAAATGATGTTTACAAAGCAGAAGCCACTTCTGTGAACTGTAAGGCAGATGCACTCTTATTCTTTCTCTACAGAAGAAACACTGTCTGGGTCTACGTCTGTGTTTGCCTGTGAACACCCATACACATGTATGTGTGAGCATGCAACCCAGAAAGCCACAGTCCCACACAGTACTCTTTTCCAAGAGAGAGAGGCTCAGGGAATGACTCCTGCCAAGAGGCAAACTGAAATGATTTCCCTTGCAAACTCTGGCTTTGCAACCCAGGAGGAGTCTGATGATGAATACCAATGACACAGGAATGATTCTGGGCCCAGGAGCCCAGACACACAATATGTTTCATATAATCAACCACCCCACAGCCTCCAACACACAATTCCTAAATTAGGCTGAATGCAGTCCCTGGTCCCCTCAGGGCCAGACAAGCCATCCTAGCTAGGAAGTAGAACTGCCTGTGTCCTAGCCTACCTCCTCAGAGGTGCCTCACTCTCCACCACTTGTCTATTTTTAGAAACCAAAAATATCAAGAGAAAGATCCATTTTGTCCTGATCTATGTGAGAAACTAAAAGAGCAAGTCAGGTGGGAAACTCCCTCAATGCACAGTGAACAAAATGCCCTTGAGGGAGAGGAGAGCAACACTTTCCCCAGGAAGATGGTTTTGGAGTTGCAAGGACTAAATACTTAGACAGAGCACATGCCCTAGTGACTGGGTCCTCCAGTCCAGGCGATGCCCGTGGGGATCCCGGTGATTCACACACATGCCCCCAGAAATACAACACACATCCTCACAAACCCACACACCTCTGTCATCTGCTTTTGCTTACATAACAGCACATGGTGTAACAGCCTTAGTACTTTATATGGGTTTCTGGAGAGGACTGCTAACTCAAACTGAGGAGGGTCCCTTGCTTTCTTTTCAAGAAATACTCCGAGCCCGAGCAAGTGAACATCTTTGCAATTCTGTGCTTGTTTATCACCTCAACTTTTAAGATTAACAAGCAGTAAGGGTAGTCTCCCAAACTCTCCAAACCATCAATATCTTTATTCTTGCCTGGGGTGGGGGAGTGGGCAGGGCAGAGAACAGAACTTAATGAATCCTCCTTTCTTATCTGTGACTCCTGACACAATGTGGGGTAGTCTTTTAAAGCATCACTTGGGGGGCATTTATTCCACACTGTCCTTGTCTTGCAAATACACCCATGCTGGGCACAAGCATGGCCCCATTCTTGCTCTCACCCCTTGTGTGCCAACAGGCTCCCCAGGTCGTCCTTCTGGGCACAGCCGAGAGAGAGGGAGAGAGTACGTGTACATGTGACCTCCCCGCCCCACTGGGAACCAGTTGCGTACGAACAAACAGAGATTCTCAACGTAGCAAGACCAACTTCCATAAGGATTTCTCTCCAGTGTAGAGCGCTGTTCTTTTCTGCCCGTCTGTGATCTCAAGTATCAACTCTGTGCCAAAGGTTCACTCAGTGAAATCGGGAACGAAGGGGGAGTGGGTGAAGATGACCCAGGCTTAGGGACAACTTCGAGGACCTCTCTCAAGAAAGCCAGCACCTGTGTGTGCACCCCCCACCCCCCAAACACACACAGACGCATTTTTATTGTTGTTCTGACCTCAGGGAACCAGTCTTCTCTCCAGTTCCGGAGAGAAACCTGGCAGACGTAGCTTCCCTCCAGCCCAGAAAGATGGGATGGGAAGTGAACACACAGCCCAGAACGGGGAGGAAGAAGCAGAGACAGAGACAGAAAGAGCGCGCGAGAGAGATGCCCCCAGTCCGAAGAAGCGCCTCTCCGAGGGCGTAGAGCCGGTCTCGCGCCCCGCAGAGGCACCTGCCTCCCGGTTGCCCAGGCTCGCGCGCCTACCTGTAAGAGACCTGCTTCCGGAAAGTTAAGTTCCGCAGCTTCTCCTCCAGTGCCTCGTCCTTCTCTTTCGGGCCGGCGGCCCCGGGCTCTTCCAGGACAGCGGCCGCCGCTGCCCCCGCGCCCCTCGGGTCCGCGCCGCCCTCGGCGCCCAGGCAGCAGCTCCCGGCGCCGCTTCCGCTGCTGCTGCTGCCGCCCGTCGCCCCCTTCTCCTCTCCCGCCGAGGAGCTGGGGTTCATGGCGACCGCTCCGGCGGCCGCGGAGGGAGCCGAGGCGCCGACGCTACAGAGGCCGGGCCGGCGGTCGGCGCTGACGGCTGCTGCCACCGCAGGAGAGCGAGCAGGTCCGCGCGCCGCTGGCAGGGGCGGCAAATGGCAGCCCCTTCCCGCAGCATCCATCCGCGGCGGCCCCGCACCGGGGCATTGTGGGAAACTCCGTGCCTCCACTCCCCCTCCCCGACCAATCAGAGGCCACCTCCCTCCACCTCCCCTCACCCTCCCCGCTGCACACCCGCGCCCTCCCGCCCCTCTGGCCTTTTCCGAAATCCGGAGCACCTGCCACGGCCGCACCTGAACTCCGCGCTGAGGCGTCGGGTGGCCGGAGAGATGGACAGAGGGCGGGGGCTGAGGGGGGAGGGGGTGAGGAGCTGCCCGGCTGGGCGCGCAGACAGGGGCAGCAGGAGAGGAGAGCTCCGAAGGGAAACTCGGAGGACGGCGTGCCGCGCCCTGGTTATTACACGAGGAAACGGAGACCAGGAAGGGAGGGGTGCCCTGCCCGGGCTGCCGGCCCGGGAGCGCTAGCGCCCACCTTGGTCCCCGTCCCCATGCCTGTCGTCCGGGACGGCATTCTCCCCATCGCCGCTGCCCGACCCTGCACGGCGGAGCCCGGCAGAAGCCGTCCTACGCGGGAAACCTTGTGGGGAATGCAACGCGCGCGTGGTCTCTGCGAACCTGGGAGAGAATTCGTGCGCAGGGTAAATTAGGGATGAGGAGGAGGTAAGTTTAACATGCAGGCGAAAATCCTGCCTCCTCTCTCAGGACATGGGCTGGGATCCCCTCATCCCTAAATCCCCCAGCCTAGAGCCTTCCTTACACATAGAAAGATCTTCCTGAAGAGCTGTTCATAGACCGAATCGGATCACAGGCCACTCAGCGAAGTAGAAACACCGAGAGAACCAGGAGGCAGAGTGAGGACCGAGCGCTGGGTGCTGCTGCGGGCGGCAGAGCGGGGAGGAGAGGATCGGCCGCCGGAAGAGGGGCTTCCAACCTCTCCGGACCCTGCTGCCGAACAAAGCCAAGCTTGCAGCCTCTGCAGATTTAATTGCCCAGCGGTCTCTTGTTTTTGTTTCTAAAAATTATCAGAAACTCTATGAGGTTTGAATGATGTGCTACGAAGTGTGTGACAGTTTTCCAAATTAGGGATTTCCACACAAGAATCACTGCTGTCAATAAACACGGGGAAGATGCATACCTAAGGCTAAGTGGGGTAACCAAAATACAGACGGGCCGTGAGAGAACTAGAGCAGTGACGAATTTCAGGGCAGTGTTGCACGACCCCAAGCAAGTTGCTGGAATCTTTCTTCTCTTTATTTCTCATGACTAGAATTAGATCGAATAAGATTTCTCAAATCTCTCTCAAGTGCCACATTCTGTATCTCTTCATATGTACATTATAATAAGTCAAGGGTCAGGGCTTTTCCATAGTGGCATAAGGAAAGGTAATAATAATAAAAATAATTTAAAAAACAGCTAGTGGTTATTAAGCCCTCATTTTCATGACAAATATTGTGCCAAGCCCTTCACTTGCCTATTTCTGTACTTTTCACAGTAACCCTCTAATGTGAGTACCTACCCCATTGCTCAGGCTTATGCAACTAGACATGGGCAGAACCAGGAATTATTATACCCAGGCTGCCTGGTTATAGGTCTTCGCTCCCCCCTCCACCCCGCCTCACCCCATGTAGCATGCCCCATCTTTAGAGGAGACTGAGGCATAGTAGGTTCTTCAACAGACATGTTAAATAAGATCCGTGACTATCTGGTGTATGGCTAACACTGAGAAAACATCATCTTATCTGAATTACTAGACAGCTTCCTAACTCCTCTCCATACCTCCTCTAAACAATTCTCTAGCTCAACCCCCCAGGTACTTCTGTTATGTTATCCTCTACCTAAAAGTCTTCCAATTACATCCTGTTGTCATTAGGACCAAATTCAAACAACCCCTTCACTGATTTTCAAGGCCACACTAGAGGGTGGCGTGCCAGCCCTGCCCACTCCCCATCCACTGTGCCCAGATAGTGCCAGTCTGAACTCCACCATGTAGCCATCCCTGACGCTCTCTCTGCTCCCACCTTTGCATGTACGGGTCCACCGCCTCCTTTTCCAAACTCCTCCCATCCCTCACATTAGCCTAGCTAACTACATGTAAACAACCCAAGTGTCCATTGACAGATGAATGGGATCAAGAAGATATGGTACATACACACAATAAAAAAGAACAAAATAATGCCATTTACAGCAACATGGATGCAACTGGTGATCATCACACTAAGTGAAGTAAGTCAGAAAAAAATAAATACTATATGATATCACTTATATGCAGAATCTAAAATAGGGCACAGATGAACTTATCTACAAAACGGAAACAAATTCACAGACATAGAGAACAGACTTGTGGTTGCCAAAGGGAAGGAGGTGATGAAGGGAAGGACTGGGAGTGTGGGATTAGCAGATGTAAACTGTTATATATAAGATGGATAAACACAAGTTACTACTGTATAGCCCAGGGAACTATATTCAATATCCAGTGATAAACCATAATGGTAAGAAAAAAGACTGCCTATATGTGTATAGCTGAATAACTTCTCTTCATAGCAAAGAGATTGGTGCAACATTGTAAATCAGTTATGCTTTCATTTTAAAACTTTTAAATTAAAAGTAAAAATAAACTCAATTTTAAACTATAATAAGATGCCATTTTTAGAGTAAACAATTTGAAAATAGATGATATATTGGTTGATGGGGTAAGAAAACCAACACTTTCTCAAATTGTTGGTATAGTCTTTCTGAGGGGAATTGGAAATACCCATCAATATTTGAAACACCAGCCTAATTAACCTAGCAATTATGCTTCTAGGAATTTGCTCTCTGATATCCTTGAAAGATACACTAAAAATTTAATACTAAAAATAACTGAAATGTTTGCTAGTATAGGACTAATTACCTAAATTATCATTCATGCAAATAATAGCATTCTCTGTGACCATTAAGAGGAATAAGGCAAACTGATGAGGTGTTGATAAAAAACAATCTCAAAAATATAACTAAAAAGAATAACCAGGGTTCAGAGTACTGAGCATGCTACCATTTACAGAAAAAGAGAAAATAGCTACAGATATAAGATTTAAGGAAAGATACATTAAAAAAGAAAAAAAAACAGTGATAATCTCTCAGAGTTGAGTGACCTTAGCTAGAATTTTTAGTTTTGCCTGATTAAATAAATACATACCAACAGGAGGCTGACTGTCTCCCAGGCTAACAGGAAAGCCATCTGTACCAACCAGGTGTGTATCTGCATGTTTAAAGAGTCTATCAACAAAGATGGGCTACTATATAAAGGAAAATAAGGTAAATAAAAAAAATCATTGAACATTCACTTGAATTTAAGACTGAGAGAGAGAAACCTACATCTGAGAAGCATAATTCCAAATAAGGAATTATTCCAGCATAAGGCAAATGAATTCTTGTTGTGGGGTGGCCTTCTGAGAAATTACTTAAAATAGCAGTTATCTTTTTAAACAACTTATTTTCCTTTTTGTTTTTCAATGGTCACTAAGCAACTTTATAATTATTCATACAACTTCTCAGTTACCTTGACTCTAAAAAGTGGAATCTGCGGGCATAGGTCAAAAGCACTCCAATCACAAGAAAGGAAATTGATGTTGACATTTCAAAATGTATCCAAAAAAAAGTGTGTGATTTGACCAAGGTTGAGTACATAAACAAGAAAATGAGCTTCTCTGGATATATTGAAATGTGCTGCTTCTCATCTCAGACCTCCCCTAGAAAAGTTTTTCATCACTGGACCCAAAGCCATGCCCCTTCTAGGTGGGCTCTTTACCTCATCTTTCTGTTATTAATTGTTCATTCTAAAACAGGGATCATCACAGTCTTAGATACCAAACTTAAGTCTCCCCAATACTAGGTCTGATCAAGACATCTTCAAGCATGAAATTTTAAAGAAAGAAAACAAATTTTTAGAGTTTAGATTGCAAGGCCAGTAATAAAGAGAACATTATATCTAAAAATTTTTTAATGTATGTAGTGATTAAGAATTTTCAGGAAATAACACAGAATCATTTTTTTTAGAAAGCAAGTAACACACATAAACCATGCACATACACCAGTAAACCATACACACACCATATAGGGCCTAGGTTATTCAAACACCAATCTAATTGGAAAATACTGTCACTAAAGGGAAAAAGAAATGGAAGTTTACAGGGTTGAGCTGATATGTGTAAGCCTATTCCTGCCTCCCACCTTTACACCTGTTACTTTTGCTGCCTGGAATGCACCAGAGATTCCCAAACTTACTCAGTTCACAGAACCCTTTAGCATCTCAGAAATTATTTTTCCTGGCACCTCTAGACCAAAAGAAGAACCTAACATTACGGTTTATTAGGTAGTTAAGTGCTAACAATTTAATAAGTATTTATGTCTTAACAACTCCAGTTGCTATTTTTAAAAAGTGATACATAAAAATTGAAAGGAAAAAAAGGTTTGTATTTCATCCTTAAATAGCCCCAATGACTTACTAATGAGACAGTAATGGGCACAGCACAACTTTGCAAATCTTGGAATCATATTACACACTGCTGCTGCTGCTGCTAAGTCACTTCGGTCGCGTCCAACTCTGTGCGACCCCATAGGCAGCAGCCCATCAGGCTCCCCTGTCCCTGGGATTCTCCAGGGAAGAACACTGGATTGGGCTGCCATTTCCTTCCCCAATGAATGAAGGTGAAAAGTGAAAGTGAAGAAATTCAGTCATGTCCGACTCTTGGCGACCCCATGGACTGCAGCCTACCAGGCTCCTCCGTCCACGGGATTTTCCAGGCAAGGGTACTGGAGTGGGGTGCCATTGCCTTCTCTGATATTAGACACTACTTAGCTTCATATCAGAGCAACCACTGAAAAACCAGCTCTGCCACAATAATGTCATTTAAAAAATGGAGCATGATATACTGTTGAAACCATCAACTACCTGGAGTTGGTAGTTACATGGTATCTAACAGAGGTTGATCACTGTCTGCCCTGAAATTTTCAAATATCCTGCAGTGTCCCTATGAATTCATGGCAGAGACCTGAGCACCTCCATGGAGTTGAGAAACCATGTC